CTGACGCAAATCTGCTCAAATGAAAGCACATTTCCTGCTTTCCACTCAGACTGCAGCTCTTTGTTCCAAACACTGCACACAGTTCTCTACACAGACGCATTGAAGTCAATATTCTGCTGAGCTCTTCTAGAGATTTCAGATTGTTTGGTGCAGAAATGCTGTTTTTATATAATATAAAGAGTTCTGCAGGAGGTGGAGCAGGAAAGAAAAAGAGTTCCTGATTTTAGTGAAAGTGCTCATTGAATGTGTGAAAGCAATAAAAATGACAGTTTGATCCACACACACTTCTGTTTCTCTGACTGTGTGAAGAGTTTGGACCGATGCATGTTAGCAAGTGAGAAAAGCTGGAAGACGAGAGCCCAGTGTAACAGGCTTTAAAGATTAGCTAACGCATTAGAAACATATTCCAGTTTGTCACATGAACACATCTCTTCTAGATATCTGATAAATGAACTAGTCAACATTGTGCTCTAGAAAACAAACTTTCAAACCATATCTGATTCAGTTTGCAGAGTTTTAAAAAGACAGCTTGAACTTTTACTTGAAAAGTGCTGCAGCTGACAGACTTGTGTAAAATGGACAAATAATAATGTTTAAAAACATCATTCAAGGTTGTTTTGTACATTTTATGAAAGTCTGGAAATAACAGCTGCAAAATAACTTAAATTCTGAAAACCGACAGATTGAAGCTAAATCATCATTTTAGACTGTGGCGTCTGGCCGAATAGTCAATAAAGTGAAATCTGTTTTTATTAATATGAACTGAAATACTGATTACTGTGAAAAATACTTCAGGAGTTCATTTCTGTATGTAACACTTCCTGTTGTTCCAAGGGCGTCACTTTGTGTTGAAAAGTGAACATCAGGGCTCAGATGTGATGATGAAATATATGGGGGTCCTTTTGACCATCAAACACTTCATTTCCTGCATTCTGGAAAAATGTTCATACCCAAGAGGCTGGTGAGATTAGTTACATGGCAGTATCTTAAAGATGGAATCATGAAATTCCCGTCACAAGGCGGCGCTGATGAGATTTCCTCACCCACCGCTCGTTGTCCTCCTCCCCCTCCACCACGATCATCTCCCCCTCAGTGAACGTCAGCTCGTTGCTGGACTAAACAGATTTCTTATTATTTGGATTTTTTGCAGGACCTGATTGAAAGTGACTGAACAGATTTTAGGATGAACTCCTCGTCGTCGTTGTGACATTTTGAACGTTATGTCTTAAAATCACAAACTCACACATTTTCCTTCTGCTGCTGCTGACTGTGTGTTCCCCTCGGTGTTGACCTCTGACCTCTGAACTTTCTACTACAGAGCAGGGCCATACGGCCAAAAATGTTAGCACCAGAAAACTATTTCATCTCATTAAATCTCTCTAATTATCAGGATCAATGTGTTTAAAGGCTGATTTTTGCTCCTGAGTGAAAGTTAATGTGGTTTGAAACTTTTCTTTCTGCTCAGAATAAACTCTTGATGCCAAACAGAGGATCACTTCAAAAATCTGAGGCAGAACATTCACAACTATTCTGAGAAAATCTCTTTTCAACATTTTATCAAGTGAAATCTGTTTTCAGTCCCTTTTCCTCAACAAAATAAAGATCTTAGTAGAAACATTAAGTGCTGATTCGTTCCTGATTCAAATGAATTCAATCAAACACTTATTGAACATTTGTTATTTTGTTCATGAGGAAAATGATATTTAGATAATTATCATATTGTTTTATAGCCCAGCTCTAATTTCAAACCCTCTTTTCTCAGCAGATATTTTGTTTGTTGGCCCTTAGTCTGATCTCCACTCCTGAGGGAGTTGCTGTTTCCAGAGTTTCTGAAACGGCACCAGTCTTTGTTAAACTGAGCCAAAGGGAGCTGATTTCTGGAGATCAGGGGAGGGTGCAGCTGTGAACTCATTAATCAGTCTAAACCCTTTTCAGAAGCACACACAGACAGGCTGCACATCATATGTTCATCTTGGTAGAGATCAGAGTTTTTAAGGACGGATGGTTCAGAAAACATCAAAATAAAAACACACCAACACTGAACTGCTTGTGATGGAGCAATAAAAGATGTTTTAGATAACGAACGCAGTCCCTCGTGTCCCTCGGGTCCCCTCGGGTCAAAGCTTAGCAGGGGATCATGATCATGATCATGATGTTTGATCCTACAGACTCAACAACTCAATAACCTCAAACCTCAAACAGAACTTCAGACAGCAAATAAAATCAAAGCATGCAGGTCTGTCCTTTGATTAGTTTCTGACTCTGAGTTAAAACTACTGAACTCTCTCTGTAACTAAATCACACACATGTAGGTTATTCCATGTGACCTCCTTTTGATAACTAATAATATAAACTAGTAAGAACTAATCCATTCACTGAGCCTCCTCTGAAACACATTTACAGATCTGACTTTGTTCGCTCCACATGCAGCCTCAGGGATTCAGCTTGAAGAGAAAACATCTCACCTTTAAGATCTAACAGCAGGTGGCTTTATGTGTCTAATATTACTTAGCTTTTATTTTGTTATTTAGCCTGAACCCAAACAGTAGCATACTGACAGAGCAGAGTTACAGAGACACAGATATGAACAGCAGACACTAGTAACAGTCTAACTTACAGAGGGTTAAATCCTGCAGCCCTCCTCCCAACTCCACATGAAGGACAGCTGCCCGATTCTGTGCTGCAGTGATAACAGAAGCCTGCTCTCCAAGGGCAGACTGACAGGAGACCCCTCTAAGGAATGTGGATCTGGAGTTGTTTGTGGACGATCAGCATCATGGGATCCAGCAACTGGTAGAAATCCTGCAGGTTCTGAAGTAACAACTTTGACAAACACACTCCCTTCAAACTATCGAGCACGAGCAGCAGAGTTAGTTACACTGACAGAAGCTGCAGAGATGCAAGAGATAAAAAGACTACAGCAGAGACATTAATCTCTCAACGTACTGTTGTAACTGACTACTGCAGCTGATTCAAAGGACTGACAGGCGAGAGCAACTCCAGAAAGCTGTTTTCTGACAGTGTGTGGTATGGCCCAGATGAGAAGCCATTACTGCTAAAGTACCTGTGTCTGTATTATGCTCAGCTGACTCATAGTAAAGACCACGGGAGGAATAAGACAAAGGAGCTGAACAGATACTGGTTCACAAAGGGTTTCTATAACTTCTCCTAAAAATGGTTTCACAGTTGCATCATTTGTGCAACTAACAATGTGGAGATTATTCAGATTCCACAGGTGGCACATTCACCTCCAGAAAAACCATCTGACCATCTACATATGGATTTTATTGAGCGGACGCCTTCTGAGGGAAGGAAGTATTGGCTCTCCAGTGATAACAGCACAGCTTTCATTAGTGCAGCACTGAAGAGTGTAGGAGAGGAGATTTTATCTGAAACAACACTGAGCTTATCACCCTGCTAGCAGAGGTGCAGCTGAAAGAGAGCGCGCTGAAAAACTAACTCATTAAATGTTAAACAGGTTTAACATGGATGAAGTCTTTGCCATCGTTTTAATGTACTTAAGCAGAGTGAGGGGCCTCAGTCCTTTTGAACGACGAACAGATGGCGCTGAAGGGGTGATGGGCCAAGAGAACACGGAGGCGTGGTTCTGCTCGCTGTCTTCATTTCAGCTACTAGAGACAGTCAGGCCTGAGAGGAGGAAACACACATCCTCCCCGACAGCCCGGCCAGACGGGATGCAGAAATTATGGCAACCACAAAGGAAGAGACAAGGCAAGTTGATTTATATAACACATTTTAACAACAAGGTAATTCAAAGTGCTTTACATAAAACAAAAGCAACAGGGAAATATAAGTTTAAAAGCAACATAAAATATAATAAAAGTTACAGTGTTACAATCAGGGTTAAAAGAGTTAAATGGAAAAAAGCAATGATAAAAAAAAAGCTAAAGAAAACAGGACAGTAAAAGTTAATAAAAATAAATCTTAAATATTTAATTAAAAGCAATGGTAAAAAGAAAAGTCTTCAGTCTTAATTTAAAAGAACTGACAGTTTCAGCAGACCTGCAGTTATCTGGGAGTTTGTTCCAAATATACAGAGCATAATAACTGAACGCCGCTTCTCCTTGTTTGGTTTTGACTCCGAGGACAGAAGGCAGACCTGCCCCAGACGACCTGAGAGGTCTGGGTGGTTCGTAACGAAGCAGAAGATCAGCGTTTATAACAGCTGATATGACTATTGAAACAGAGAAACCGAGTTGGGTCCTTCCCTCAGGTCATGAGTGTTGCATAGTTTGCACACCAGAGGGCGCTCTGCAGCTCCTCTGTTAACACTCCAGGACTACAGAACTAAACATCTAATAGTGAACTGGATTAGTGAAAACAGACTGGTCTTAAATGTAGCAAAAGCCCAAAGTGACTTGTTCAGATCTAGACCTGCCACTGAGGGAGAAAACCAGCTCTGCCCTTCACCCACAGCCTCAAACACTGAACAGGTTCAAGAGGTAAATGTTCTTGGTGTTACACCAGATGGACAGTTAACATGGGAGAAACATGTTGACAACATTGTTAAGAAAATGTGTAATGGAATATCAAGTATTAGAAGATGTTCCCTTTTCTTAGTCCTGCCACTACAGTGCTGGAGACACAGGATTAATCTGATCCCACCTTGATTACTGTTCACCTGTCTGGTCTGTTTCAGCTACAAACAGCTAAAAATAAAGACTCGCACTGGCCTGTCCATCGGGTGTGAGGCTGAGGACGGACAGTGAGCACGCCAGCCTCTCGTGGCTTAGAGTGGAAGAGAGGTTGGCATGCAACCGTAGGAATTTCTTTAAGTGTGTGAGAAACCAACATATTTATAGTACTTGCTACAAAGGGTTGTCTAGTTTAGGAAAAACCCAGGACTGATGCAGATCTGTGATGTACAGAGCCTCAACATGTGGAACAACTTACATGTTTTCATTGCTGAAGCACTCAGTAAGGCTGCTTTTAAAAAAAACACTTGAATAATAACGCAAACACTGCCGAGCTCAGGTGAATGGTTTGTTGCATAATTGTGTTGTGACACTTTTTACTTTGTCAGCTGCCTGCATTATCACGTACACACAGTGATACTTTTTATAAGCACTGTAGGTGTCATTTTTAGATTCATGGATAACTTGTATATTTGCTATATGTTTGTCGTATGTGGACCCCAGGAAGAGTAGCTGCCACATTAGTAGCAGCTAACGGGGATCCGAATAAACGAACGAATCAGCTGACTGCAGTCTACCGGAGCTCAGAGCCACTCTGCTGGAGCTGTGGTCAGTAGCTCCTGGTAGCTCGGTTTTCCCGGTGAGTTGGTCTTTTGTCACGTCTATTACATGACGTAACTAATAATAAAAACAGCCCTCATCACTTCTCTTTGGAGACCAGACCTGCTAACCCTCCTGCCCTCTCCAGGCTCAGCAGCGTGTCTGCGCCGGCAGGTTGGGCTGCAAGGGGCCGCTGCCATCGGCGCTGCACAGCACAAAGCAGCTGATGGGATGCTCCTCACGCTGGTTACGGATTGGCTGCAGGAAACAGACACATCTGAACTGCTACACGCCCACAAGCTGTTCAACATGAAACCAGCTGATCTTGTCCTCCATCTCATCGTCACTCTTGTCCAGGTCCTCAATCTGGAGACGCCACTCGTACTCGACATGAACGTGGATGTTAAACTTTCCTGTCTGAGCCTGAGTCAGCTGAAACATGAAACACACATGATACACGCTGAAGTACTGCAGGTTCTAACTGGAGGCGTATATAAGCACGCCGGCCCACCAGACACATTAGCTTTTTTCTATTCAGCAGGAACTCTGGCATGTTTGAGACTACGAAAGAAGTACAACCACAAGAGGAAATTTCTTACCTGGAAAAAAGTCTAGCAGAGGAGATGGCTGGTGAGCAGTTCAGGCAGTGTGTTTTCCCATGCCCGCGCTACATCATGGCTGGGGACACTGTCAGGGGTTGGCTGCTGAGTGCAGACTGGGGTGAGGACCCAAATGCAGACAATGGCAAGGCGAGAGGAGGATGCAGTTCAAAGACTTTATTAACTCAAACTCAACTGAAACAGGCTTACGTGGAACTCAGGGCAAAAGTCCAAGCAAAGGTAATCCAGGAAACACAAGGCGATCCGGAAACACAAGGCGATCCGGAAACACAAGGCGATCCGGAACAGGGAAAACAAGGCGGAACACTCAACAAGACGCACACACACAAGGACGTGACCAAGACTGAAGACAAGAGCAGGCATATATACACACATACGGGGACTAACGAGCGGGGCGGGAGCAACACAGGTGACCGGGATCAGGGCTAACAAGGCAGGCAGAGAGTATGGAAAACAGAGAGACAAGCAGGCAGGAAGAAGCAGCAGGACTCCAGCAGAACTCAGACAGACATAGGCAAAATAACACATAAAACACATGAACTAATGTACAGGACTAAGAACTAAGACACGAGACAAGACAGATACTAAGTAACTTAAGGATGCAGATGAATAATAATAAACAAGGCTACACCGAATACACAGAACCAAAAACAGACTTAAACAGGAAACATGAACACAAAACCCACATTCCTAACACACTCATGCCCTGTGTGTGTCTTGTCTGGGGATGCCGCATGCCCAGGCAGCTCTCGAGGGGGCTGCTTGCGGCCATTGCGAGGCCCTGCACCTGAGGGTGCTGAGGTCCCGTGCGGCTCTTTTTTCCGAAGACGGTCGCTGAGGCGGCACGACGGCTTCGGTCATGGGGCTCCCACCGCGACATCTCCGAGGGCATCGGGACTGCCAAGACTTTTTCCCGTTCATCGTCTGCTGGCTCCAACTCCCCTCTTCCCCGTTCGGGAGCCCACTTCTGGCTTCTCCCGCTCGAGGTGTGAGCCCGGAGAGGCTGCAACTGTCTGGTTCTGAGGAACTGGCTCAGCATCATGGAGGAGGAAGACTTCCGGGAGCCGGATCAAAGTCATCAGTCAGCACCCAGCTATGACGAGCTCTTGGAGGTGGTGACAGTGGCAGTGGCCAAGCTCCAGCTCGATTGGCCGCAGGCTGTGCCAGACACACATGCTGTGCCAGACATGCTGCGAGTAAGCTGGATGATCGCTTCCTGCAAAATACCATCCATCCATCCATCGTCAACCGCTTATCCTGCGTACAGGGTCGCGGGGGGCTGGAGCCAATCCCAGCTGACATCGGGCGAAAGGCAGGGTACACCCTGGACAGGTCGTCAGTCCATCGCAGGGTCACACATACACTAAACTACCATTTCTTAGCACCCTTGCTGCTACTATATCACCTATCACAATCTCAATTTGATTACCGGTGTTTCTACCACATACTGTGTAATGTTTCAATCCGAAAAATGTTTTTTCAGCACATGTTCGATCACCTGACTTCCTCCGTCCTAAAGCTACAACTGCTCGTAACTTTGGTTCCACCTTTAGTGTGTTCCTCTTCTTCTTCTTCTTTTTGTTTTATGGCAGATTGCAACCATGACTTTTAAAGGTGCATACCGCAACCAGCTATGTTCGTTGGGTCAATTTATATCATAAAATTATATTATATATTGTACACCAGCTTTCTGTGTATCGTTTACCCCGTCTCCTGTTGTGCATAATAAACCTTCAAGGTTCCACTTACTTCCTGCCTACTTACTTTTGATTTAGCCTCATCCTCTCATCCCTGTATTTCCTACAATGTAATAGTACATGTTCTATATTTTCCCTTCTTCCTGTGAATGTCTAACTCTATCTCTAATAAATGTTCTAAATACACATATTTCGTCTCTGGAGCCTTTTGTCACGTAGAGAAACTTTAGCCCTTCAAAACGTTAAAAGGGAAAATGAAAAGTTCAAACACCTGGTGAACAAGCAGTCGTCAGAAAGTTGTGCAGAAACAGTGTTTGTGAGGATCAAACTCAGCAGGAAAAGAAATCTACTTGAGCAACAGAATAAATCAAGACTATTTGTTGAGTTTTTGTCTTCAAACCTTTATTGAAGTGAATAAGAAGCTCTGCAGCCATCAGCAGCTACTAGATGCTGCTCCAAGAAAACTTTATTAAAGTGAAAATCAAAGTCAACACAGTTTGTACACAACAAGTTCAGCCCTGAGATCATTTCACCATTTCGAAGAAAACACATTTCTGACATTAAAAGCACAATCAGTGAGTCAGATGTTAACCAAAGTGAAGCCTCGTCCACCACCAACATTTAAACCACAGGATTGGAAGTTGTCTCCCTCCTACAGAGAACACAGAGACACTGAGGAACCAGAGGACCAGAACCCAAAACCAGGATAAAGAGGTTCAGTGAATGTGGTGTTGAAGGTGTGGAGGTGGATCAGTGTGTCAGAGGAGACTCTGTAGAAGGACAGAGTGCCAGCAGGACAGTCCACATACACTGCTACTCTGTTAGAGGAGGAGGAGGAGAGAAGGAGGGATGTTCCTCTGTTATTGTGCCAGACAGAGTAACGACCATCAGAGCAGTACAGACTCCAGGACTGATCATTCATTCCAAACCCACAGTCTTTACTCTCTCCTCTCCTTTTGATTCCTCTGTAACTCACTGATATATAAACCTCTCCTCTACACTCGACCTCCCAGTAACAGCGACCAGTCAGACCATTTCCACACAGCACCTGAGGACAGCAGTCAAATCTCTCTGGATGATCAGGATATGGCTGCTCCTCTCTCACCCATGTCACCTTCCTGTTGTCAGACAGTTTCAGGTTTGTGTTTGCTGTGTTTGTGTCCAATGTCAGTTCACAGAAATCTGATGGAGAGAACGAGACACAACACAGCAGCAGTTTAGATGCATCTGAAGGTTTATTCTTTGTTTGTGTACTGATGTTCATTTCTATAAAGTTTAAAGATGATGCATTTAGTCAGTAATGTTTGAATGAATAAATACCAAAACTATCAACTTTGTATTGAAAGAGAAACTGACTGTGTGCTGTTTTGTCATCATGAGTCAGATTGAATCCACACTTACACTTCCTCAGACCAGGTTTTAACCACTGTTCTCCACCATGGTCCACCCTGGAGGAAGAAACACAGTCAGAGTGATTTTCTATCCAACATGAGTCCTAACTGCTGTTCAACATGAAGCATGACAAAGAAACAGGCTGAAACTCATCTGTGTCAACTGTCTCCAGGATTCTTTCACTGTCTGACAGAAAAAGACCTGAAGAAGGAGAAGAAGAAGAAGAAGAAGAAGAAGAAGAAGTGGGAGGAGGATTTCAAATATTGTCCTCTGCATGTTCTCCCGCTAAATAAACAGTTTGACCAACATTCACACATGAAAAAGTAAACTGTTTCCAGACTGTTCTCAGATCAGTCTGACCACCAGATTCAACTTGTATTGTGTAATTTATACGTCAGAAACAGAGGGTCTCTATCCAACATAAGTCCTAACTGCTGTTCAACATGAAGCAGTGTTGCTCAGTTTGTCTCTGTGACAGAGAAACAGGCTGAAACTCATCTGTGGCAACTGTCTCCAGGATTCTTTCACTGTCTGACAGAAAAAGACTTGAAGAAGAAGGAGAAGAATCCAGAAGAAGAAGAGTCCATATGATATACAGATTGTAAAGCTTTCTGAGACAAGTTTGTGATTTTGCACTTGATAAATAAAACTGACTTGACTTGGAATTTCATATCAATGAAGGAATGTATTTCACTGAGACAGATGAGGCAAAATGATGAAGTTAACAGAGAATAAAGGCGTTTCTCTCAGCAGCAAATCATTTATACTGTAATTATATGCATCTAATTTTGGACTGTAATTATTAAAGAAGTTTATTGTCAATTCTGACATATTAAAGGTGCAGTATAGGCCATGCTCAAGTTATATTAGACGTAAATAGGAGTGTGCAGCTACAAACTGTAAGAAGAAAAGGTATTTAAATTACTAAAGATGTTTATTTAATGTGAAAATTCAATAAACACATAATACACCCATGGCTGACATACTGCGGTAAGCGTGTCGACTCATTTCCGTTTCCGGTGCTTGTGTGTTGGTACCGTGTTGTGCTGCTCTCGCTAAATACCAGTTAAATTTGTTAGATTACAGCGGCTAACTGTCCGCTAAACACTTATTATTACAGTAATTTTGCCTAAGCACTCACAGTTCTTTCCATCTTTTAGTGACTGCTGTTCTATCTCATAATTGTTTTCAAAAGTTTTGGTAGCTAACGCTACAGTACTTTAGCTTAGCCGTTAGTGACTTTAGCTTAGCAGCTAGCGATGGCTTCTCCTTCTCCCTCTCACTCTCCTACTTTCTCCTGCTCGGTGTGTCAGATGTTCAGTTACTCTTCTGCCTCCTTTAGCTGTAATGGTACGTGTAACAAGTATAGTTTATTTTTAGACATGGAGGCGAGGCGCAGTGATTTAGAAGCCAGGCTCTGCACCTTGCTAGATCAGTCTTTAGCTACTGTAGCTAGCCACTCCCCGGTAGTTGGTACGGAACGGCCTGAGTTAGCCTCTGGTAGCCGTCCCCCAGCATCTCCTGAGCAGCCAGGACAGGGTGGCTGGGTGACTGTCCGAAGGAGGAATAGTCGTAAAGATTCAAAGCCCACGGGTCATCACCAACCTGTTCACTTTTCTAACAGATTTTCCCCACTCTGCGACACACCTGCTGAGAAACCAACTCTGATCATTGGCAGCTCCATTTTGAGAAATCCCTGTGGCCGGAGCGGGCAATATTGAGTCTTATTTGAAACTGCTGGCTAAGGATAAACGTAAATACAGTAAGATTGTTACTCGCATCTTGTTGATAGTGCTACAGGCTTGCTGCGAATGACACCCGACTCTGTAGCCCCTCTAAAAAAGAAAATAATAAAACAAAGACTGTTAGCTCCATGATATAACACTGAAACTCGCATAATTAAAGAAAATATCGCGGAAACTTGAGAGGAACTGGCGTTCCACCAAACTGGAAAAATCTTGTTTTATTTGGCAAGATAGTCTTAAAACTTATAGGAAGGCCCTCCTTAATGCCAGAGCAGCGTACCACTCATTAATAAAAAAAATAGGAACAACCCCATTGTTCTTTTCAGTACTGTAGCCAGGCTGACAGAGAGTCACAGCTCTATTGAGCCAAGTATTCCCATAGCTCTCAGTAGTTACGACTTCATGAGCTTCTTTAATGCTAAAATTCTAACTATTAGAAACAAAATTCACCAAGACCTGCCCTCAACTGGCACCGACTTATCTCTAAACTCAGGAACCTTAGAAACAGCTGTAAAACCAGATATATGTTTACACTGCTTTGCTTCCCTCAATCTTTACCAACTAACTTCAATAATTTCTTCATCAAAACCATCAACCTGCCTCTTAGACCCCATTCCGACTAGGCTGCTTAAACAAGTTTTACCCTTAGTCAGCACTTCTATACTAGGTATGATCAATCTATCTTTATCAACAGGCTATGTACCACAGTACTTTAAAGTAGCTGTAATTAAACCTCTTCTGAAAAAGCCCAAACTTGCTCCGGATGTTTTAGCCAACTATAGACCTATATCTAACCTTCCATTTCTCTCTAAGGTTCTGGAGAAAGCAGTTGCTAAACAGCTGTGTGACTTTCTACATAGCAATAGTTTATTTGAGGACTTTCAGTCAGGATTTAGAGCTCATCATAGCACAGAGACAGCACTGGTGAAAATTACTAATTCCTTACTACTACTGTGCCAGTAGTAGTAAGGAATTACTATTACTAATTACTAATTAATTAACTCCTTATTGCATCAGACAAAGGACTTGTCTCTGTACTGGTTTTACTAGATCTTAGTGCTGCATTTGATACCATTGACCACCAGATCCTATCACAGAGACTGGAACATTTCATTGGCATTAAAGGAACCGCTCTAAGCTGGTTTAAGTCCTATTAGATCGATTTCAGTTTGTACATGTTAACGATGAGTGCTCCATGCACGCCAAAGTTAGTCATGGAGTTCCTCAAGGATCTGTATTCTGACCAATCCTTTTCACTTTATATATGCTTCCTTTAGGCAACATTATCAGGAAATATTCCATAAACTTTCATTGTTATGCAGATGATACTCAGTTATATCTATCGATCAAGCCAGATGAAACTCATCAGTTAGCTAAACTTCAAATGTGCCTTCAGGATGTTAAAACCTGGATGACCTGTAATTTTCTCATGTTAAACTCAGATAAAACTGAAGTTATTGCTCTGGGGCCTAAGCACCTCTGTGACGCATTATCTAAAGATATAGTTTCCCTGGATGGCATCGCCCTGGCCTCCAGCACCACTGTGAGGAATCTTGGAGTTATCTTTGATCAGGACATGTCGTTTCATTCTCACATTAAGCAAATTGCAAGGACCACCTTTTTTCACCTATGTAATATTTTGAAAATTAGGAACATCTTGTCTAAAGATGATGCAGAAAAATTAGTCCATGCATTTTTTACTTCTAGGCTGGATTACTGCAATTCCTTATTATCAGGCTGCTCGAAAAAGTCCATTAAGACTCTTCAGCTGATCCAGAATGCTGCAGCATGTGTTCTGACAGGAACCAGGAAAAGCGATCACATTTCTCTGTCTTAGCTTCTCTGTATTGGCTTCCAGTAAAATCCAGAATAGAATTTAAAATCATTCTTCTTACCTACAAAGCTCTTAATGGTCAGGCACCATCTTATCTTAAAGAGCTCATAGTACCTTACTACCCCACCAGAGCACTGCGCTCCCAGAATGCAGGGTTACTTGTGGTTCCTAGAGTCTCCAAAAGTAGACTAGGAGCCAGAGCGTTCAGCTATCAAGCTCCTCTCCTGTGGAACCAGGTTCCAGTTTGGGTTCAGGAGGCAGACACCATCTCCACATTTAAGAGTAGGCTTAAGACTTTCCTCTTTGATAAAGCTTATAGTTAGGGCTGGCTCAGGTGAGTCCTGAACCATCCCTTAGTTATGCTGCTATAGGCCTAGACTGCCGGGGGATTTCCCATGATGCACTGAGCTCCTGTTTGCAACCTCATCCCATTAATGTATGTTACTAACTCGACTTCTCCCCTTTCCCGTAATCTTGTGCTTTTTCGTCCATCTCCTCTCTCCTCCTATCACTTCCAGCAAGTGTTTCTGGCTCTGGAGCTGTGGACTCTGTGGTCCCACCTATCATCAGTGCTTGAAGTTGTTGTGAACAAACAGTGTGGATTTATGCATTTTATATTAAATAATTTAGACACTCAACTCTTCTTTTCTCTCCCAGAGAGAAGCAGGGGGTTTGATTATCAACCCTCTACAGATGGCTGTAGTGACCCCAAAAGAAAGGCGGGTGGAAAGGTCGCTTTCCCTAAGTGCTATTCCTTAGCAGCCTGATCGTAAAACTAGCACCTTTGATTCCGCAGCCTGATAACGCGGTGTCTGACTGTTAAACTGACAAAAGGGACATTAAACAGCGATTAGCGTTTCCCTGAACAGCCTATCAGAACTCTCCTTTAAAGGGGGCAGGAAACCCAAAACTGCCCCCCCCCCACACACGCAACTGACCTTGCTCTGTGTTTCATTACACCATCAAAGGGCTACTCCTTCACGCCTCTGTGTGACAAAATCCAGGACACCAAGGACAGCCCTGAAGTTATGTAAACAAGGACTGCAGTCTCCAAAGACTGCAGTCTCCAAAGACTCAAAGCATTACCTGTTTAATTAAATAATCTTTTAGTTACTTGATTACGCTACCTTTATTTGAGTAGTGATGTTACCATGTTGTTGCTATCTGTTGTTGAAGTGCCATGACTTCAGTTTCCCTCAGTTCCAGCAACTTTACTTGTTTTATTTTCTTTCTTTTGTTTTGTTAAAGTTATCAGTCCGTTAAGTTACACTGGTCTAATTCAGGAACAACCAAGTTCCCTTTTAAGCTTTTTCGTCGAGCTAACTTCACCGAGGTCAGACCCAACCACGTGGTCTCGCCAGAATCTAAATAGGTATCAGGACATCAACAGGAGGGACTTCACATAGCAGAGCATGCCCACAAAACTAAATGCAGGCCTATCAGGTAAATAATTTTAATTTAAGTTAAAAAGGCTACAGGTGTGTAGCGCACAGAAGCTGTTGCCATGGTTACTATCCATAGAGTGCCTGCCATTCACTCGCAGAGCGCTGTCTCCGTTTCTGGGGCCTCTTTTGTTTAACATTTACATGCTTCTACTGGCTCAGATTATGAAAAACAACAAAATATGTTCCCATAATTATGCAGATGACACACAGATTTACATAACCATTTCACCAGGGGACTATGATCCCATACGGGTGCTGAGTAACTGTATTGAGCAGTTTATCCTCAGTCGACTTGACTACTGTAACAGGGCTCCATAAGAAATCCATCAGACAGCTGCAGCTGATTCAGAACGCTGCTGCTCAAGTCCTCACTAAGACCAAAAAGGTGGATCACATCACTCCAGTTCTGAGGTCTTTACATTGGCTTCCTGTATGTCAAAGAATTGCCTCCTGTTAGTTAATAAAGCACTAAATGGTTTAGGCCAAAATATATTTCCGATCTTCTGCTTCGTTACGAACCATCCAGACCTCTCAGGTCGTCTGGGGCAGGTCTGCTTTCTGCCCCCAGAGTCAAAACTAAACAAGGAGAAGCAGCGTTCAGTTATTATGCTCTGTATATCTGGAACAAACTCCCAGATAACTGCAGGTCTGCTGAAACAGTCAGTTCTTTTAAATTAAGACTGAAGACTTTTCTTTTTACCATAGCTTTTACTTAAATATTTAAGATTTTTCTTTTTACCACTGTCTTTAACTAGTAGATTGATAAGATACATTGCACTGTAACTTTTACTGTGCTGTTTTCTTTTTCTTTGTTTTTAGCTTTTTACCATTGCTTTTAATTAAATATTTACACGTTACATGTTGCTTTTAAACTTTTTTATATTTCCCTGTTGCTTTTATGTTTTATGTAAAGCACTTGAATTGTTGAATGACCTTGTTGTTGAAATGTGCTATACAAATAAACTTGCCTTGCCTTTCCTTCCCTTATAAAACACACTGCTGATGGAGAAAGTGGAGGTGACAGGCGGAGAGAGACAGTGAGAGGCGGGGCAAGCCAGTGTGTTTGCAGTGAGAGACCAGAGATTAGGTGTGTGTGAGTGTGGGGAGAAGAGAATTCAGAGACAGGTGCAAAGCAGGTATATTTAAAAAGAATAATAATAATGTTCGTGGGGATTAAATCCTGCTTTCACCAGCCATCAGCCAGTATGCCAGATTACTAGTCCACCCCTGCTTCTATCCATAGAGCCATGGTGTTAGCAGGGCTCACATGAGAATGATTTTACATCCAAGTTTCTGATGTTTCTAATGAATGGCTGTTTCCAATCGATAAGACTTCTGGAGATCCATGTGTTTCCCATTAAATAACAGAAAATAGAGACACCTGCAGAGTGTGGGCTCTTGTTGTCTGTCCAAACCTGAGAGTGTCCAGTCTCCAGTGTGGATCCTCCAATCCAGCAGACATCAGCTTAACCCCGGAGTCTCCTGGATGATTGTAGCTCAGGTCCAGCTCTTTCAGGTAGGAGGGGTTGGAGCTCAGAGCTGAGGCCAGAGAAGCACAGCCTTCCTCTGTGATCAGACACCCTGACAGCCTGGAATCAGGAAAACATCATAAACTCTGTGTTTTAGAAAATCATGTGAGCAGGAAAATCCTACAGACAATTTTCCCTACAATGAACCTAAAAACAGATGAGGAGGATTAAAAAGAAACAGCTTAATACTGACCTGAGAGTTTCCAGTGTACAGTGTGGACTCTCGAGTCCAACAGACAGCAGCTTCACTCCTGAATCCTGCAGGTCGTTCTTACTCAGGTCCAGCTCTCTCAGATTGGAGGGGCTGGAGCTCAGAGCTGAGGCCAGGGAAGCACAGCCTTCCTCTGTGATCAGACAGCCTGACAGCCTGGAATCAGGAAAACATCATAAACTCTGTGTTTTAGAAAATCATGTGAGTAGGAAAATCCTACAGACAATTTTCCCTACAATGAACCTAAAACCAGATGAGGAGTATTTAAAACAAATAGCTTAATACTGACCTGAGAGTTTCCAGTTTCCAGTGTGGACTCGTGATTCCAGCAGACAGCAGCTTCACTCCTGAATCCTTCAGGTTGTTGTAACTCAGGTCCAGCTCTCTCAGACTAGAGGACTGGGAGCTGAGAACTGAGGACAGAGCTTCACAGCTTCTCTCTGAGAGGTTACAGCCACTCAACCTGAAAAGGGATTAGCAATGGACACAAACTAAATGATTTATTTGTCAAATACAAAAAAATTTAATTGCACATGCATATATCCACCTACAGAGCTTTCTTTGAGACTTTGACCACTGGCAGCAGCATCAGAAGAGCCTCCTCTGAAGCAGAGTATTTCTTCAGGTCAAACACGTCTAGATCTTTTTCTGATGACAGTAAGATGAAGATCAGAGCTGACCACTGAGCAGGAGAGAGTTTATCTGTGGAGAGACTTCCTGAACTCAGGGACTGTTGGATCTGCTCCACTAGAGAACGATCATTCAGTTCATTCAGACAGTGGAACAGATTGATGCTTCTCTCTGGGGACAGATTCTCACTGATCTTCTTCTTGATGTACTCAACTGTTTCCTGATTGGTCTGTGAGCTTCTTCCTGACTGTGTCAGCAGACCTCGTAGGAGACTCTGATTGGTCGTAAGTAAAAGACCCAGGAGGAAACGGAGGAACAAATCCAGGTGTCCATTTGGACTTTGTAAGGCCTTGTCCACAGCACTCTCGTAGAGCTGTGTTAGTTTAGGTTTGCCTCTGAAGACTTTAGACAGCCAGGATTTTGATTGTTCTTCTGCCAGCAGATTGACACCAGAGTTGATGAAGGTCAGATGGACATGAAGAGCAGCCAGAAACTCCTGAACGCTCAGATGGACGAAGCAGAACACCTTGTCCTGGTACAGCCCACTCTCCTCTTTAAAGATCTGCGTGAACACTCCTGAGTACACTGAGGCTGCTCTGATATCGATGCCACACTCTGTCAGGTCTGATTCATAGAAGATCAGGTTGCCTTTCTGCAGCTGCTCAAAAGCCAGTTTTCCCAGAGACTCAATCATCTTCCTGCTCTCTGGACTCCAGTGTGGATCTGTCTCAGCTCCGCCATCATACTTGACGTTCTTCAGTTTGGACTGAACCACCAGGAAGTGGATGTACATCTCAGTCAGGGTCTTGGGCAGATCTCCTCCATCTCTGGTCTTCAACACCTCCAGAACTGTAGCAGTGATCCAGCAGAAGACTGGGATGTGGCACATGATGTGGAGGCTTCGTGATGTATTGATGTGGGACATGATTCTGCTGGCCTGCTCCTCATCTCTGAACCTCTTCCTGAAGTACTCCTCCTTCTGTGGGTCAGTGAACCCTCTGACCTCTGTCACCATGTCAACACACTCAGGAGGAATCTGACTGGCTGCTGCAGGTCGTGTGGTTATCCAGAGGCAAGCAGAGGGAAGCAGGTTCCCCCTGATGAGGTTTGTCAGCAGCACATCCACTGAGGTGGACTCTGTAATGTCAGTCAGGACCTCATTGTTGTGGAAGTCCAGAGGAAGTCGACACTCATCCAGACCGTCAAAGATGAACACAACCTGGAACTCTTCAAACCTGCAGATTCCTGCTTCTTTGGTTTCAGTAAAGAAGTGATGAACAAGTTCCACCAAGCTGTACTTTTTCTCTTTCAGCACATTCAGCTCTCTGAAAGTGAATGGAAATGTGAACTGTATGTCCTGGTTGGCTTTGTCTTCAGCCCAGTCCAGAGTGAACTTCTGTGTTAAGACTGTTTTCCCAATGCCAGCCACTCCCTTTGTCATCACTGTTCTGATTGGTTCATCTCTTCCAGGTGAGGCTTTAAAGATGTCTTCTTGTCTGATGGTTGTTTCTGGCCTGTCTGGTTTCCTGGATGCTGTTTCAATCTGTCTGACCTCATGTTCATCATTGACCTCTGCAGTCCCTCCCTCTGTGATGTAGAGCTCTGTGTAGATCTGGTTCAGAAGGGTTGGGTTTCCTGCTTTAGCAATCCCCTCAAACACACACTGGAACTTCTTCTTCAGTTTTGATTTCATTTTACACTGGTACTCAGCAAGAATCTCTGAAATAATGAAAAAGAGATGACAGAATTTAGAAGATGCTAAAGAGTATGTGAGCCATGGAAACATTTCCTCTTTTCGGGCAGAAAATATGTTTCTGCCAAGCTTTACGTTTTTGACATTATTTGCTTCTTAATAGTTCATCCATCCATTTTCCACAACTATATGTAATGATGTATGTAATTCTCCCCAGCCACTTTCTACAGCTCTTTCTGGGGGATCGCAAGGCGTACCTAGGTATTCAGGGGGTTCTGGGCCTGCCCAATGGTCTCCTCTAAGTTGGATGTGCCCTGAATACCTCCGTAGGACAGTGTCGTAGTTAGATGCCTAAACCTCAACAAGCTTCTTTCCACATGACAGAACAGCAGTTCTACTCCAAGCTCCTTAATTATCTGAGCTGCTCGCGTTATCTTTAAGGGTGAGACCAGCCAAACCGACAATAGGTGAGAACACAGATCTTCTGGTAAACCCAGAGCATCACCTTCAGGTGTAGTTCTCTGTTTTAGTTCTCTCTTTAGTATGGCATCCACATTGCTATTGATTCTCATGCTCCACCATTCCCTCACTTGTGAAAGACCACAAGATCCTCGGTCTCCTTGACAACAATTCCCTCCCAAACCAAAATGAACAATTCACTATTTTACAGACGAGTGGTCTCAGTCTTGGTGGTGCTGACTCTTATCCTTTCTGCTTCTCACAGGTAAAGCCTTTAAAACCACATAATTTGCTAACAGCAGAGATGTAAACCTGATGGCCACCTTCTCTGAATCTGCATTGGTCCTACTGAATCTGAGGTTCTGCCACAGTCTCCGTTTCATCACCGTGGAATAAGATCTGCCAGGGAGCCTGGGAACTACTCTGATAATGTCACTGTGGGCCTTTCTGATTAATTTCATGTACGTGTCAGTCTGGTTCAGCAGTTCCCCAAACTGTCCGACAATATCCTCAGTCTGGGTCAGCTATTAACCTCCCCTCCTGAGTTTCCTGACGATCTGCCAGGCCGTCTTTAAGGCAGAAAAGTTGTTCTCCATGGCCTCAAGTCCTCCTATACCAGTTTTTTTCTTTTGTGACCACAGAAGCTACCGCCCTTCTGGCATTCCAATACCCATCTACTGCTTCATCTTTTCCCGGCGCCAACCAACCCCAAAGTTCTTCTTTACAGACTTTAAATATTGACATTTTAAACACTTGAACCACTTGAATTCCATGTCGCCAACGTCTCAACTGGTGGTGGTGGACAGCTTTGCTCTTCTCATTACTTGTCCCAGACATACGACTGCAAATTTAATGAAACAATCACAACCTCAATAATCAAGCTTTGCTGTACAGTGTACCGTAACTTGCGAACCACCTTATGCCTTGATTATGGTGTCCATTATCGACAGTCCATGACTATCACAGAAGTCTAATAACAAAACACATCCATCAAATGCTCTCACTGAATCTTGGTACCATTCCAGGAGGAATATTCCAGCTCACCAGTGCTTAGGCAGTGGCTCGTGAGAATCCCCACACCTGCCTGGTGCCTAAAGGAGAGTCAATTCCCTATATAGGAGTTTAATTTCAAAGCCGGTGCTACGTGTTGCTACTCTCCTGTACCTGTGACCTGACTGGCAATGCACCTGACCCTGACACTGCAAATGGACCCTGCCACCAGGCACTTGCCAGTAAGCTTCATTCCTAGGCTTGGCTGCAGAAAGAGGCCCTAATCTGGGTGTGGTAGTTTGCTTTCAAGGTTGCTGATCCAAAAGGGCTCTGCAATCACCCCTGATCGGACACTTCACCTAAGACAAACTGCCTTGGGTGACCCTACCAGAAGCTAGTGACCCTGAGATCAGCTTCCATGGTCATTGTACCTCAACCCCTCCACCATGTAAATGTGGCAGTTCTCTTGATATTAGGAGGCCAATTTCAATATCAGAATTTCAACTGTATCTGTTATCATTGTCATGAGTCTAAAACTGTGATGCATGATTGCATAAAATAAAAAGATCTTGTTAATAATTCCATTTTAATGATTTACCTGTGGGATTTGAGATAGTGTTTGGTATATTTTCCATTAGATCATTCTTATTTATCTTTACCAAAACTAGTCTGATCACTTTAATAGTGTTTATGCAATAGTTCTGGACCATCAGATCTAAGGTGTCCACCCTGTCTGCATTCTCCAGTCGACTCTTTCGGATTGCTGGGAAGCCTTCCAGGACCCCCTTCTGCTGCAGGTACCACTTGAACTTTTTAAAGTCCTCGGCTCCCAAATCTTCCAAAATTCCCAAGAGGACCTCTTTCTGTGTCGCCATCTTTTCATCCTGCAAAGATGCCAAAAGAATTCTTCACCTTATAGAACATACGACACAAAAGTGAATATTATTGGAGTTGTCATGTCATTATCGATTAATCTATAATTTTGTTGATTAATTCATAAGTTACTTGGTCCATAAAATGTCAGATGATGGTGAAAGATGTCACTTAGTGTTTCCCAAAGCCCAAGATAATGTCCTAAAGTGTCTTCTTTTGTCCACAATCCAAATACAGTATATTCAGTTTACTGTCATAGATATTAAATATTCACATTTGAGAACCTGAAATCAGAGAATTAGGAATTTTTTTTTAAATTACTCAAAACAATTAATCTATTATTATTACTATTACTCTGATCTCTTAAATTAAAAGGGATGCATTCTGAGAGATATAACTTGTGTTTTAACAATCTGAACAGGCTAATGATAATGACCTACCATGGCTTCATAATGAATGCAGGACGCTAATGAAGATAAGAGATCAATTACTTAAAAAGTAACTTAAAACTGGCCTGACCTCAGACAGACAACAATTTACATCAGCAAGAAATAAAAGAATACAAACATTGTGGAAGGCCAAAGCACACTTTTTATGACTATTATTGAAAGTGCAAAAGTGAACAAATCTGGCTAAGCATTATGTCACCCCTGGTTACAGAGCTCCATAAAATAGATGAGTGAATAAAAGAGGGATTTAAATATGTGGTGGAAGGATGTGACATTAAATAGTTAATATTTCCATTAACCATACTGACCTAATTCATGAAAACAAAGGCTCGTAGTTAATCTCCTTCCCATAATGCAGCAGATGAGAGTGTGTTGTAGTGATGGTAAGTTTGACTCTTTTGACAGACTCGTTCATTCAAATCTTGTTCATTAAAATGAACTAATCTGTTTTTTGAGTCATTTTGTTCATTTGAACTAGGCTGGTTATTGTGGTGCTGCAGCCCTCTAGTGGGCGATTAAAAATTATTTGACAAAGTATAATGCACAAA